TTGTTTTGATCTGGGTTGTTGTATGTTGAAGATGGAGGTGTATGTGTGTGTGTTCTGTGTACTCATGTTCTTCGTCAGGATGATATCCTAGATGTGACTCTTTTATTTTTCCCTTTCCTCGTCAATATTATACAAGCACAATATTCTATACTATACACGAACCAACTCCACTGAAATCATGATCAATTACCAATGGAACCACCACCCAACAAATCCTTCAGATTCAACTGCCCACTCCCTCTCTCCAACGGCTTCGCCTGACCCTCACCCTCCTTCCATCCAATCATATAAATCAACCGAAACGTCGCCGGCACTCCCCTAGACGCCTCCTCCTTATGCAACTCACGATAAATCGCTTCATTCGCCAACAACACATCTCTCGATATGGGCCCCAACTCCCGATGCAAGATGGCATTATTCTCCCCCATCGCCTGCAAATCGCCCATCAACGCAAACGTATCCGGATACTCCACCACAATATCCTCCACATCCACCGTCAACATCTTGAAGCCCGCCTTATTCAACAATCCCCCAACATCCCTCACATCCGCCAACGGCGACACATGCGGACTGACACCCCCACGCCGCTCCAAATCCGCCAACTGCAACGACGTTCGCAGCTCGAACAGCGTATCCCCACCGAACATCGCCGCAATGAACGGACAGTCCGGCTTGAGGATAGAGTTGACCTGCGCCAGCAGCGAGGGCAAATCATTGATCCAGTGAATCGAGAGCGAGGAGAGCACCGCGTCGAAGGAGTTCTCCGGGAAGGGAAGAGATTCGAGATCAGGCACGATTTGCCGCTTTAGAGAGATCTGGTCGTTGAAGGGTTCGTCTGCGTCGCGGTATAGAAGGGCTTCGGAGGTGTCGATGCAGGTTAACTGTCCGATGCGAGTGCTGAGGGGTGGGGAGCTGCCGTTGGGAGCGTCGGGGTCTGGATCGGGCATGGTGAGAGCGCGGGCGATGTTGCAGCTGTTGGCGCCGAGATCGAGGACTTGGGGGAAGGTGCGTTTGATGTCCTAGATTCATTTTCAGTTTCCATACAGTATTATGTTTTATCTCTATCTGTAGGTGGTGTGGTGGAGGGCATACCAGCAACCGTTCACATAGCCGCATGGCTACTTCGTCCTTGATGTAGTCGGTCTTGCGGCTCTCCTCGACATTGCGGGCTGCGCGGTCCTTCTGCATGTGCTTGGTCTTTCGATTGAATATTTCCATGACTGGATTGCCGGGCGTTTGGCTGGCGTAGGTGCGGCGTGATGGACATGATGATGATGATAATGATGATAATGTGTAGGTGGGTGTGCGTTTGGTGGAGATGCGCGGGGAGCGCAAAGCTGGTCGGACTATGTGAGACAGAGACATTTTGAGGGTCTCTGGGTTATGAATTGGAGTGGGGTTGCTGGAATTGAGAGGAGGGAGAAAGGGTTTAGAGGAAAGAGAAAAAAAGAAGTTGGAGGCAGCTCAGCAGCAGCGGAACGTGACGTCGGCGAGAAATCCATTCCATCTCCGCATTTTCTCCCGCCACGTCGCGTCCTCTTTTCGCGGGGTTGTTCGCTCTACAATTTCTTAATGTGTGATGGGTCTTGTGGGTATGTTGGAAGCAGATTACATTGAGGTAGCAATTTGAATCGTTCTGTGTGATTCGATTTACCGGTGTATTAGGTATAATGCTTCCTGCTTCTTCCCCCTGATGTTGTTTTCGGACTTCCATACTGATTATCTTAATGATGCGCCTAGAATGCAATAAGCAAATATCTTGATTGAACTCTTCAACATGTCACGTCCCTTCCCTTACACCTTTATATCTTGTCCCTGCGCCAACATCCCTGTACCTGATCCGGCAAAGAAACGGAGATCGAGGGAGTCGCCGCAGAAATCCAACCCCGATCAACCCAAATCTCTCCTGCGCCCGGATGACGACGAAGATGAACAGGCTTTTGATCCTCGGTCTCCGCGCGCCAATTTCTCTCTGTATCCCCCGGAGCAGCTGCTGTACTGCGAGGATTGCCATCAGATCAAGTGTCCGCGATGCATAACGGAGGAGATTGTGTGCTGGTACTGTCCGAACTGCCTGTTCGAGACGCCCAGCAGCATGGTTCGGAGTGAGGGGAATCGGTACGTTGAGCAGGATATACAAGCCTCAAGCTTTTATAGGTGTATGCTAATGCAGTGAGTGTTAGATGCGCTCGCAACTGCTTCAATTGTCCGATATGTACCGCCCCCCTGGGCGTCAACACCCTCGAAAACGTCGTGACAGGCGGCACCAGCCAACAAGGCCCCTGGGTGTTGTCTTGCGGATACTGTATGTGGTCGACTCTGGATATTGGCATCAAGTTCGATAAGCCGACCAACATCCGGACTCAACTGTCCAAGATGACCGAAGTCACTCCTGCTCGCTCGAGACAAATGTCCCGGACATTCGGGGACCTCAAGTCTCCCCTCTCCACTTACTCCTCCATCGATGAGCAATTCCTACCACCAGGCGAGACCAAGCCCGAAGACTCCCCTCTGGACCAACCCAGTGCTCCTCTCACTCCAGATGCTCGATTCCACGCCCTCAAGAACTTTTATAAGAACCAGATTTCCGCGACATCCTCCTCCCCCACTGACCCTCTAGGCATGGACTTCGGCTCTGGGTTCTCCTCCCCCGGTGCCCTAAACCGCATCATGTCCCTTTACACCTCTTCCTCCCGCCTCAGCAGCCTCTACGGCGGAGCCAACAAGAAGCCCAAAACCAAACCGCCCGTCATGCGAGAAGCCCTCACGGCCAGCGAGGGTCTCAAGATCCCCTCCCCGGACGCCGAAGGCACACTCATCGAACGCATGTCCTCCCCGGACTGCGGATGGGACGGTCTCGCCTCCATCGAACAACGCGCCTTCCAGTCCCCAGACGCCCGGTTCGTAGAGGACCTCCTCCCGCTGCCCGTGCTACTTCGCACAAAACGATCCAAACGATGCAAGTCGTGCAAGCACATCCTCGTCAAACCCGAACTGAAACCACAGTCCACGCGATTCCGCATCCGTCTGATTGCCCTCAGCTACATTCCCTTGCCGACGTTACGGCCGCTGAACCCCAGTCCCTCCCCAGCCACCACCACGACCACCACCGTTCTCCCGGCACCTTCAAGTTCCACGACGAACCCGAACCTGGACGCTCTCTCCCCACTCCGACCCATCCAACTCCTCCTCACGCTGAAGAATCACATGTTCGATCCCGTCCGCGTCACACTCGCCACGCCATCCGTCACTCCGGGCCGCGTGGCCTCCAAAGTAACTATCCTCTGTCCGCAATTCGACATTGGCGCCAACAGCGACGTGTGGGACGAAGCCCTCCAGGGTACTTCGGCTACCACTACCACGGCTACATCCACGGGAACTGACCCCCGCGGATCCCGATCCGGAGGGCTCGGCGTGTACGAGAAAGTCGCAGAGGCCGGCAAAGTCTGGGACAAGGGACGGAACTGGACCACCGTGGTGTTGGAGGTCGTACCGGGGACATTACCTGGTGGTGCGAAACAAGCCTCCTCCGCCAATAATACCAAGAAAGACAAGCAAAAGAAGAAGGCTCCCGCCGATGATGATTTAGACGACCAGGATGACAAATCTGACGATGATGACTCCGACTCCGACCCGGGATTTGACTGGAGCGGACAGGCATCTGACCCTAATGAGCAGCTACAGCCGGATGAAGATGTGCTGGAGATTCCGGTGTTTGTGCATATGGAATGGGATTCGGATAATCAGATTGATAGTGAGCAGGGGGTTGGGAGAGCTGGAGCGGGTGGGAGTGATACGGTGAAGAGGGAGTTGGCGTATTGGATGGTGTTGGGGGTGGGGAGGATAGTGAGGGAGATTGTGTAGATCGATGCATGCATGTTGAGTTCTGACGTTGGTTTGTGTATAGATGTGATGATTGATGGATGTCGGTGATACCTTTGTTTTCTTTTCTACTAGATAGACATATATCGCATCTGTCTCATTCTTGACTCCAGAGCAGTCAATAGTCATCAAATGCTGGTGGGTATAGTAGTGGTTCACGACCTATGACATGATGGCTGCCCATTGACATATCTAACGAACCCACAATAGTAACTATAACTATGAGGCTTAGCCCTTCCTGGCAGCAAGCAGCACTAGTAAGTAAACTGTTAGTAATAAGCGACCTCTTACCAACAAGACTCAAAGAGAGTCCAATAACTTCGAAATTTTACATTATAAATACAATAGTTACATACTACTATCAATACCTACCCCATCTACACTATACTCAAAAAAAGAAAAACAAGAAAAGAGTTCATACACTCGACAACACAATGCATTTTCTTTTGCAGGCAATTCCCCTTAGCCCTATAGCTAGCTAGCTACCCTAGCAACCAATTTCCTTCTCCCCCTTTTTCTTTTTAAAACTAATATGACAGAATGACAGCTGCACGCAAGACCGACATGAATCTTTGAACTTTGACTTTCCTTTTCGAACCCTCAATCCCTTAATACCCGGTTTATTTTTGCCCCGAATCCCACCCAAAAAGAACACATATACCATGTACCAGAACCGACCGACCGACCGAAAGAAAGAAAGATAGAAAGATACCTGACCAGAACCTCACTGTCTCAATCCTCAACCCCACAAAGAGCCGCAAGCAAGAAGGTGTCTAACTGACGGCTGGGGTGGGTGTGTGGGTGGGGAACATGCAGTAAAACAAAACGGGGATGGTGATGGGGGATGGGGAGATCGTAGTTTAGTGTTTCTGCATGCCCCCGAGCCCACGTGCAATATATGGTACGTGATTTTCTGAGGGGAATTGACGAGTAAAAAAAAATATGGAAGAAACGGCAAGAAAGATGAGAGAGAAGAGGACGGAGTAAGAAGAAAAATTGAGGTAAGAAGGTCAAATCAAATTTTAGTCTCTTGTCTTGTCACATTTGTCACTTGTCAAATTAAAAAAGGAAAAAAAAGAGGAAAAAAAAAATAATTTGATTCCTTTTTTTTTCACTCTCTAGTAGTCGGCACCACCCTGGGGGAATTCAAAGACAACAGCACGGCCAGTCAACCGACGGTAGACCTCGCCGTAGGCATCAAGGCGGTGGTCAACACCACCACGCTCCTTCTCGTCCAGGATGACCTTGAGGGTCTTGGAGCCGTCCTCCTTGGTGCGGGTACGCTTGCCGACGATCTCGACGGGGTAGACGAGGTCGGTGAGGATGGCGTCGTGGACAGCAGTCAGAGTGCGGGAACGAGGACGCTTCTGCTTCTGGTTGGAACGAGAGCTGGCGGAGCGCTTGGGGCGGGGCAGGATGCGGCGCTGAGCAACGAAGAGGACGTGGCGGTCGGAGAACTTCTTCTCGAGCTCACGGGTCAGACTAGAGAAGGGGAGTCAGTCAGATGGTTTCTGGTGTCGTTTCTTTTTCGCTGCTACGCTTCTGGTAGTTGTGGGCATGTGGCTGGCCACATTCCGGGGTTCGTGTATTTTTTTTTGTTTCATGTGGAGATGTGTGGAGTGGAAAATCGTACCGCTGCTGGATCTTGTGGAAGCCCTGGAGGAGAGGGACAGGGACGAAGATGATGACTGCCTTCTTGCCGTGGCCGACCTCGACCTATGGTGATAGTAGAGTCAATATCAAGTTGCGCACAATCCGAGAGAAAAACAAATGAATATTTCAAATTCCCAGTTCGCGCAGCAGATCAGATTTGAGTGTCGATTGGTTGTTGGGACGGTTCAATTCGTGTTCTTCTTTTCTCTTCTTTTTCCTCAATGCTGGTGGTATGTAATCCCCAAGCACACAAACGTATACACCATCCAGGTGCAGACCGCACACAATATCCACATTGATATTTGATATTTCCCAGAACGTCTCTCGTATGTTGCCAATTTCCGCGAATTCACGAAACTCTCGACCCTCTCTGATCTGTACACGGACGGAGGCTATGAATGAAAAAACCAAATCATCCTTACCTCACGGGCAGAGACAAACTGCAGGGGCCTGAGAGTGGCCTTCAGGTCCTGTGTGTTGCTCTCGAGGTCGAAGAGAGCACCGGCGATCGCGGTCTCCAGCTCGGAGGGGTTCTGCCTCGACGGCGAGTTGATGGCGATCTTGTTGATAGCAGCCATGATTGCAGACGAGCGACGGGTAGCTGGCTGTGCTGCGGATGCTGCCTTCTGTCGTGAGGTTGGTTGTCGAGGTTGGTGGTTGAACGGAGATCTCTCGAACGTCCTCCAATTTGCGCTTGGGTCGGCTGTGGGATCGGAGGCTCGGCCTCTCGCTTAGCGGGTGGCCGTAGTCCCGTTTGGGACTAGTTAGGGGATGTCTGGTCCCGTGACCCTTCTGCCCTTTTCGGATCATCAACCATTAACCAACTACTACCATGCAGCATTGCGAGAAATGCTTGCTTGTCTATCATGTTAATCCTCATATTATACATTGCATTTGGATCGCAGAATTCGCATTCTATGACTATGGCTGACTGGCAATGAACCTGACCGGTTCTCTGTACAAATCTTTGCCATTCCCTTAATCGCCATACTAACTCTCTGCATAGTCATTGGAAACGAACAGAAAAAAAAGATAAAGAAGTAGTGCAGTACCATAGCAGAGCAGAACAGAACAGAACACTCGAGACGCCGGGAAATGAGAATGGATCAAGCCGCATGTCAGTCTGGTCCTGACGGTCGGGGAATCACTGCCGCAGGATATTACTATGTAATCAACCTGACATTGTATCGAACAGTAAAAGGACGATTGCAAAAACGAAAGAAGCACGACCAAAATCTCATGACACGCTGTAAAAACAATCTGAGATTAGCAGGCACACCCTTCCTTTGCAGTTGCCGGACCACGCTCCCCCAGGTTGACCCGCGAGTCTTCGGCCGGACGACCGCTGTTCAGGCTAGTCTGGCCCGTGCCAGCGCCACCTGCTCGTCCGCTCTTCAGGCTGCTCTCCGGGATCGCATTGGCGATCGCAGTAAAGACATCCACGACATTCGTGCCCGTCTTGGCACTGGTCTCGAAGAACAAGAGACCCTCTTCCTCCGCGTAGGCGCTAGCTTCCCGTGTAGGCACCTTCCGAGCATCACCGGAAGTGACATCCTGTGCTTCCTGAGGTTCTTCGGCGGTTTCATCTGCATCGGCCGTAGACGATTCGCCCTCGGCATCAGCGGGCGACTCCCCGGCCGCCTCGTTCCCGTCGTTTGTCAAATCCAGCTTGTTACCAACGAGAGCGATCACAATACCGGGACTAGCTTGTCGCTGAAGTTCCGCAACCCAGTGCTTAGCCTTTGTGAGAGAGGACGGTTTGGTAACATCATAGACCACGAGCGCCGCCTGGGCGTTACGGTAGTACATGGGAGCGAGCGAGGCGAAACGCTCCTGACCGGCGGTATCCCAAATTTCGAACTTGATCGTTCGCGTAGACAGAGAGCATTTTTGGGTGAGGAATGCAGCTGTGATGATAGACAATGACATCAGCATCGGAGATACAGCCACTGTCGGGAACCAAGAAAACCGGGAACAATTCCCTTCTTCCCTTCCCTCCGTCTCTTCCCAAATCGGGAAAAGTGATCTGTAACTGCCACAGCCGGGAGAAGCTTACCTCCGATAGTCGGTTCTTTGTTCTCTTGGAAATCGTTGTTGACAAATCTCAGCACCAGTGAGGACTATAATGGGCAATCATCCATTGCGTTCATTGTCAGTCGTTTTTTTTTCTCTGTGGTTACTCAGGTACCACGCGGAGGTCAGAGCAAGGAAAGTGCCGGGGTTGCTCGTACCTTTCCCACAGCGGCTTCACCCAAAAGTACCAGCTTGACGCTGCTACTCGGTTTGGGAGTATTTGTGCTAGTTGATTCAGACATGGCTCGAGAGCCCAACGAAGGCGATGAAGGTATGCGATCAGGTCGTCTTGCAGGACAAGCCCACACTAGGAATGATTATCAATCTGAAGGATGATTTCAGCTCGCAAAGGGCGGCTCAGGCCGGGCGATACAGAGAGCACTACTCGGGAGTAGAAGCCTGAAGGAAGACGTAAGCAAGACACACGAGGGAACTCCGGAGGAGGGGGTGTGGTGGAAAGGGCCAGAATCGAGCAGGGGTTAATGTGACGAAGGGAACATTGGAGAAGAAAAAATGGACAAATAAGAAGAAGGTATACTACGCACCGGTACCAGAGTGAAATGGCGGTGGACGGGGAAGAGTGATGGAGAGAGAGCGCAATGACGGCGAGAGAGAGGGAGAGAGAGAGATGCTACGGCCTAGGTAGATACGCAGTGAGGCGGAGGGTGAAGTAGATGGCGGCGCGATGCCCGACTCGGTTAGCGCGCCCAAGGCGGGCGGGCAGTCACGGGATGTTCCCGCAATTCTCCAAACATAAAAAATTACCCATATCTTTATTAGTTAATTTTTGGTGCGCTTCAGGTACCAGTCAAAACTTCGCGGGTACTGGTCCCATGGGGAGAAAATAAGGCAGACAAGACAGAGGATGAGACAATTGTGGCTCTGCGGGTAAACCAGGTGACAACAGCGGAGAGGCACAGGTTGGAAGGGTTTAGGGCTGTTTGGTATTTCCTTCTGTCCAGTTGATTTCCCACACTCGACCTGTAGATACATCCGACGTACATGGGGGGAAAATAAGCGGCTGCTCCCCTAAACTATTTCCTGAAACAAAGCAGCTTACCCGTGACACCTGCTGTCGATACCCATCGAGACATCAACCGGCTCCAACGCAGAAGATAGATAGTATCTCCTCATACACTGTCATTCCATCATTGGGGCCTGACTATCGCGGGAAATGCGACAGATCATCTTTCTAGAGAAACCCTTCAAACCCCGACCACAACCATCAGGGCTTCGATGATTGGTAGGCAAGCGATCTGGCCCAACTCAACGCCAGGATTATCCATAAGGTGCATATCTATAGGTCGCAAAGTAGGCACGGGGTAAACAACAACAACAAAGACCGACAGAACAACAGCATGCCATGGCGTCCGAACATGACGTGCCAATAGGTCCCCCAACGGCCCATGATCGCCGGCCAGACAGTTGGAAACGCCTCCCCAATGGCATCCAGTCGTGTCACGGAGCCAACGTTGCACGACATGATTTGTGCAGAGCCGGTGGCTGCCCAAAAAAGAAGCACATGCACGCCGTTCAGAACTTGTTGATTCTCGACCAGGGATCCACCCAGATAATGCCACTGCCTTCTCCCCAGCAAATCAGATTGAAGTCGCTCTGTGGGCTCCCGTCAAACAACCCTGAAGACAATCACGGTTAGATGTCATCGTCGGGGTCTCGTCCGAGTGCCGAAATTCTTTTCCCCAAGTCCTCACTTATCCAGCTGACTTGCAGTTTTCCCCCGTACTGGTGCAGTGGGTTGCGATTTTCACATTATGGAGTGACACGCCATAGTAGTAGTAGTAGTAGTAGCAGTAGCAGTAGTCATAATCCCCCAAACCATGAACTTTGATTATCTGTGCCAGTGCCAGTAGTGTACACATACACGCAAACTCATACACAATTCAACACTGACGCAACCACGATGAAGTTCGCTCGGTTTAGAATTCAATAAGCATTGAAAATATCCAGAATCAATTTTTAGCAGCAGACTGTATTAAGGAGCAAATGCTGACGAAATTGTAAGGAAAAGAAAAATAAATTCCAGGTATTTGACCGCGAGGTCCAACGTTCTAGTCTGTCTTGGTATCAATCCATGTATCCCAAATCAAAAAGAAATAACCCCATCCCGTCTATTCCCAACGCCGGTAGTAAAGCAGACCAAGTAGAAAAACAACAAATCTCGACAAATCACTTTTGGTGGAACAGATCATAGACCTGAGCTGGTTCGTGTCGGCGGATTAAAGGTGTATGGAGGCAAAAATAATGGTCGATCGAAGAATTGAAAAGAAATAGGTGGTGGCCGTATCGTTCCATGGTGAGAAGAAAAATGTCCACGGCGGAAAGGGCGTAATTAGAAAGTATGTAGAAACCGAAACCAGTGGCGGCAAAAGGACAACGCAGTAAGAGCAGGAAATAGTAGTGGTACAGGGAACTATGATTCGTTGTTAGTCGGGAACCAGATCACCCGGGAGATGCTTGTGTCTAGGCAACTTACAAGCTCGACTTCATAGTAGTCACGTCAAACTCCAGGAGCCATGCGCCAGTTGCAAGTCACAAATAACTTTTCGCTCGAGAGAATAGCAGAACAGCAGCATGTGGTTGGCAGATGTCTCCAAGGGTTTCATCGGGTCGAAGGCGGCGGCGGTGGTGCACCCGGCTTCTTGACTCCGGTAGTGTCATAAGCTCCTCGTCCCATGTTGAAGGCTGACAGATCTCGCAATATCATTTCAGATTCTGAGCGAATGGCCATGGTCAGATGCTGAAGGTTTGCTCTTTCGGAAAGGAGTGGAAGACGGTGGGAAAGATATAGAAAAGCGAAGGCGGATGTTTTGAAGGGAAGTGTGTTTCAAGCCTGGGAGAAGTGTACTCACAGGAAGATTAAATAAACACACGACGGGCCTCCCCAAAAAAGAAAATACCAATAAATAAAAAGAGCTCGATTATTATTCTGACTGTGCGTCGTGTTGATAGATCGTGTGTAGGACTAGCGAGGTACCCAAGCGATTCCCGGCAGCGAACAGGCGGTAACGACGCAGACAGATGATGCAGGCTGCAGGTGAGATCGGAAGTGGGATCCTTATTAAGGCGCACAAGTCTGACACTGGGTTGGAGACGAGACAGGGTGGTGTAGTGTAGGCAGATCTGAGTAGGGCAGGAATGCGACTGTCGAAGTACCAAGAAATGGGCGTGTAAGAATGAGGAAGGGTGGAGTCCTTGAACCCAGTCGACAGGTCGCTTTTTCTTTTTGTTTTTACCCTCTTTTGATCCTCTTTAGACACTCATGCGGTTCGAAGACGTTTATTTTCTTTTTCCTTCTTTCCCCTTGGGAACTTTTTTCCAGGTGGCAGAGCGACGAGAGATAAAAAGTACGCGAGATGTGCAGATGATGGTAATTGGAAACAAGCGCGATCTGATCAAGAACCAGCGACCAAGGACACGGAGGACGACTAATGCAGCCGGCAAGGAGGTGATCCTGGAAAGGAGCACGGAAGTGAGCTCCGTCTAATCCGGTAAAAAAAAGAAACCAAGCTAGACTGGACGTATCGCAAGGGAGGATGGAACGCGGCCTGGTAACGTCACGGCGAGGAGGATCGGGAATAGAGCCGAGGGCGAAGGGAATGGGCGAAAGTACGTAGGGAGGAAGAGGAGAGGAGCTGGACGAGGAGGAAGGGTGAGTTTAATTGATTTTAGGAATGGATGGATGAAGAATTTAGTAGCCAGATGGTTGAAGGGGGTCCATCCCATAGATATATAGTGACTAGACCTTCTTACTTTATGGTTGATTTTATTTTTTTATTCTAAATTTTTAATGCTCAGATTGGGGTGAATTCCAATCTAGACAGAAAAGAACTTCTGAAAGTAGGAAGTCAAAAAAAAAATAGAAAATCAAAATAAAGGTGGACGATACCTAATCTAGATACGGAAAGACAAAAGTAAACAGAAAAAGAAAATTCAGAAAAGGAAAAAGGGAAAATTAAAAGGTGGAAAATCCAATTGGGAAAATGGAAAAACTACGGAGAGAGTAAGAAGCTAAACCTGGCCAAAAGAGTGTGTAAACGGAGCAATGACAGAGTCATAGTAATACGGCGAAGACTAGAAATTTGAGAGAGACACAGAAATTAAGAAAAGCAAAATACGCATATAGTAGGAGTAATAGTAATAATAACAACAATAATAGTAGTCGAGCAACAGCTCTCTTTAGCATAGCTAGGCGGCTCACCCGTCCCGAAGGTAAGGTACCGTGGGTGCGATCCATTTCCCCCTTTCTTTTTCTTTTCTTAGGGGTTTCTGGCCCCCGTCACCAACGTCGTGACGCCTCTCTCGGACGGGAAACTTTGTAGCCACCTACTAAGTAATAGGTAGCTCAGGTGAAGGTTGGTATCTTTCTTACCTTTTCGTTGCTTTTCTATCCTATCCCTTTGCTTCTTTGTCTGAGTCGCCTCATGTTATTCCCGGTCACTCAAGTGGCTCCCCATCTGCATCCCATCTCCCTTCCCCCCCGTCAGTTGCTACTACTAGACCTTCCCGATGATGGCTGATACCTAGACACGGGTTCATCTCGGAAATTGTAGGGAAACCACAGGAAGAGTCCGTCTAATCCGTAACGGAAGTGACCTTACCTGGATTGTTTCTGAATAGAGAAATCCATTCCATCGATCATGGCCTAGTTCGGAGAAGACTTTGCCCAACCAGTCAAGGGACCGACCTCTCCGACTATAGTAAGTAAAGGTACTGTAAATTTGTAATGGCATTGAGAATTTAGCCACTGTTCAGCAGTCATCATCATTCTGACGACCACCACACCAGTAACGGAAAAAGGGAAATACCACTACAGAAGAAATTTTGAGGTCTCCACTGACTGTACGGAGAACATCAGTCAGAAGTTAGGAACCGATTCCTCGGACGCGACGGGCAGGTTTGAGTGCAGGTGAGTGGGGAAGGCAGCCGCTCACAGGATCCCGCGGATGGATCCGAATCCAGCACCAATGGGTCCGCTGGGGCTTGACCTGATGCTTTCTCGCGTGGTTTTTTTGGGGGGGGGGGAGGGGGGGTGGGAAGGGAAGAACCAAAGTCAGGGGCCCCTGGATGGGGGGAGGAGCCTGTTTCCCGGAAACCCTACGTATTCAAAATTCCATGGGATGCCATAGCTAGCCAACTAGGTAGGTCTGTCTGGGTGCTTTTGCACAGCATGACCCCATGCAGATGTTTTGACTTTTCTTCTTTTCTTTTTTTCCTTCCCTTTTTGCTCATTGATATTTGCCTCTTATCCTATGAAACGGGGTCTCTGAATTTTCGGGCTGGATCTATTATTTACCAGTGGTGGCTGCTAAGATTTAGAGCGGCGCACCCTTGTCGGTAGCTCCCCCCTAACACGGCTAGACATCCTGGAAAGGGCCGGAGTACCTGCATAGCCGCACTTATCTATCGAGCTCGACTACTGTACGATCGAGATGATCGAACTTTGATGGCGCCAACCATGGTTTGATAGGTAAGGTCCAGAGCTCTGGGCTATCACTTTAATCATCCTGGGCGTAGAAGTATGTAGGTAAGTATGAAAAAGTACTCTCAGTACTTTGACGACCAGCTAGCTGTTTCTGCTTTCATCCGCAATGGGTAAGCAAGCAGGCATTCAACCCTACGGGAAGTTGGCCTACTAACTAGTAAGTAACCGCCGGGGATACGGAGGACCAGGGTACCTAACCAGGTTCAGAACCAATCCAGAAGCTTTCCGTCCGGTAGTTAGTCACCTGCTGCACTTTAGTTTGGAGTAGTTTCGGGAGACTATTCGCGACCAAGATCACTGTTTATTGATGGACCTCCCTAGCCTGGCCCACCATTTCTCCTGGTTTGATTCATGTTGGCTACAGAGAGATTAGCACCGGTTTCTGTCACCTCTGGCCCTCGTTTGTCGTCTCTGAGTGAGTGAGCAATCAACCTACACAGGCCAACTATCTACTAAGCGAATCCGAGCTGACCTCAAGACATTGTCTGTCTTTACTTTTTCTATTTCCTTATCCTTCATTTCCCGCTGGACTTCTTTTCCACCCTCTGATCTTTTGGCACACTCGCGTCTTCCCTCCCTTTGGTCACCGGGGAAATCGGCTGGCTGAAAGGGGCAGTGGGGCCCCCTAATAACGATCCATGATCCGGCAAATCCACTGTTACCCGCCTCCGTTACGTATTATTGTGCAACTCGCATTCTTCTCGCGCGCTTCTAGTCCTTCTAGCGCCCTCGCCCTGCCTGTTCGCCCCCGCGACCGCGGATGGAGCTGCGAGCAACCAGAACCAGCGCGCCAATTTTGCAGCTTTTCGGTCCTACGATCGCAGACTACCAGACTCTAGTAAACGATAGGCTCAATTTACGCTGGGTCCAGGAGCCCTCTAAAACTTCCCGAAGAACAATCTGGATGTTCTTCCCCCCGACAAGTTGGGGGATTCGCAGCCCTGTGCGGATTTCTGGGGGTTGACATCTCCGGCTGCATGGAGGAAGCTAGTTTAGTTAATACTCAGGTAAGCAAGCTCTCTCACTCGTCTGTCGTTCTGTAAATTGTGGCTGGAATTACAAATTACCTCTGTCGCTTGACCGTCGTTACCCAGTATGGGCTAAATTATTCGACTCCACCAGCCCATCCCACTACATCATTCTTACCACTTCTATTCCTGACCTTCGCCACAATGGGGCAAAGCAAAGTAGTAACGTCTAGACGAGTGGAATTCTAGACTGACTCGAGCTGCTCAAAGCCGCCCACGTTTGCCCAACCTCTTGCTCACTTGCGTAGCTTCTGATCCTCTGATAGTATCTCCGTTGTAGACCGTCTTGACGTCGCCGTCGATCTGCGCGGAGAAACAATGCCACAAAGTGCCAAGCGACGCATGTACCGGGATTCGCAACATGGGACTCCCTGCTAGGCTGGCGCGTACGCGTGTTTCAATCCAACCGATGGATTGGAACTAGCCGTCACAGTCACACCGTAGGCGCTTTATCTTTGTTTGGGGATGTCTGATTACACCTTATCTCACAACTGGTTCGTACTTTTCCCGTCTCTTCTCTGACTAGCCAATGACGTGAATCAATTGAAAGGAACATAGTTGGCCTTTTCTTTGTGGTCGAATAGGACGTGATGACTGTGTCAGCAGGAAGAAGTAACTAAAGTTGCTGATAGCATCAGATTCTGAGACATGAGATCATCCCATCCAATGGAATGGCATGACTTGTATCTTTAATCCTTCAATTTTTTTGCGACACGCCGTCCTCGGCTACATGTGACACCTTAGTTTGGTTTTTTGTTTTATCATCATGATCCTGGACCAAACAGCCGAACATACACACCCACACAATAATAACCACCCAGCAATAATAATAGCACTCATCAATTGACCCCAGAAATCCAGGCCCAACAGCCGACACACCCTCTCACGCCCAGTATCCAGCAATAGCTACAGAAACAGAAACATCAACAAAAAGCAAACGCAAGCAAGTGTTCCACCTTGCGCCCGGATGGGTCAAAGTCAACTCAACCACCTCTTCCAGAACGATTCTAGAAGGCCCATCCGGATGGTTCTTACCCTTCCCCATCCAACCATGGTTCGCTCGCGGATCGTACCATCCGTCATGGTCCCCGGGACTTTACGCCTCTTGAACCCGCTGGCTGCCAAAAAGAAAAATAGACATCGGAGATACGAACTAAAACCCACAAATTGCAAAAAGAGCTACTGTAAGGCAGAAATAGCTATTATGATCCCCGTCTCAACGGCCCGAACATGTCCCCAAAAGAGGAAATTACTCGATAGGCGAACCACCACGACTCCATCGAGAGAGTGGATTTGTCCTCCGTAATTGGTTTACGGGGAGGCTAGAACGGCGCTAGAAACCGGAGGAACGGGGCTAATGAGTACTTTGGTCTAGCGAGAAGGGTGGAAAGGGAACCGTTGGGCGGTATTGCCTTTTCGGAAATGGACGAGAAGGAAAGCCAAAGGTAAGTACTCCGTAGGTTGAGTTTTTTCTTTCCGGGTTCCGCAGACGCTAGAGTGTGTTTTGACTTGTGGATATTATGGCTTTTTTTTTTTTTCTAATTGGGTCGGTCGGTCTTGGAAGGCTAGATCGTTGGAAGGATTGAAGAGGATTGCGAGAAACGGCATGGAATGGATGGATAGGATCCTTCCGATCCGATATGATTAACTATTTACTGACTGTCGATAGATAGCTGGGCTGATTATTCAAGTTATCTGGCTAACTATCTATATGTCCGATTACTGACTGACTGGTCTTCAATAGGGCGGTTGGGAATATATTGAATTGGATAGATAATGGATACATCCATCAATCAATCCATTGAGGGTCCGTCGCGAGCTGCTACTTGCTTGCTTGCTTGCTTGCTTGCTTACAATTTTGGTAAGTGGTAAGTGGTAAACAGGGATCAAACCACATGATTATGATTAGTTTCATGATCCATCATTTCGAACTTTTTTCCCTTGCAAGCGACTAATAATTCCCGCACAAGGAAACAGCGATGAGAAAACCTGACCTGTCATGCGTGAACGTTCATCTTGGTGTTCGTTCGAAACATGTCTAGGATTTTCCGACGGTGGTGGTCGGATGCAGATTGATTAATTGATATTGATTGATTGATTGATTGATTGATTGATTGATTGATCATTAGATGGGCCGAAGTAGTCCGAACACGGAGCCAGAAGTACCACTACTAATTACCTTACCCACGAAGTGAGCATGTACTTTACTTCTCTTCCGCATGGCTCATTCGTTGGTTCATTCGTTCCCACAACCAGGTTCAAGGTTCAAGGGTTAAGCATGGTTTAGTTTTCCCTGCAAAAATTTGACTGGACATGATTCAGCCCGCATCGGCAAGATGCATTAGCCATGCAGAAAAAAAAACAAATCTAATTCTAGCGAATACAGCAACACCCCAACGTCCGATCTTATTTTTTTCCCCATGGAAAGGGAACATACCAGAATGATCGAGACCTTGTTCTACTTTCCATGGTATCGCTGTATAGTATGTCGGGTATCGGGATTTTCCTGCAGCAGATCGTTTTTATTGCAGCCACAGAAAGAGATAAATGGACGTATGTACTGCATGTGGCTAGATACATACATACTGCAGAGCTACATCCCAGATGAAGGATACAGTAGCCAGAGAGGATCGACCGATGCCGTGAAACACGAAAACCAACCCACTTAACTTACCCTTACTGTACTACTTAAACTATAGCCAAGAGGGAAAAAGGATGAGGATGATGTGCTTCTGAAGAGGAGGTCTGTTCGCCATTGCATAGTACCTTGCAGAAAATTATGGGACGGGGAATGGGCGAGGGTTATGCGACCGACGCAGGGGGAAACTGCATTTACTAGATTGATTATGGTTAATGCCAAAGCGTTTTTTTGCCTCCTGTTGATCAGGGTAAGTAATGTTTGTACTTTTGGCAATTTACCTGTGCAGATGTGGAAGTGAAGACATTGTCTTGTTTTACATAGACGGATAGTAGTCTTGCATTTTACATGGTAGCTTAGCTTAACCTGTCTCTACCTAGTAAATATGTATGTGTGCGTTGGGTGGAAGGAGACAGAGTGAATGAAGCAAATCCCCGAAGAATTGGAGTGAATGATCAATTGCCATTATGGGTACAAGTATTTCCTTGCTGAAAGGTAAAATCATTCCCTTGTTCATCATCATCTAGCACTACTGTTAGCTAAGCTCTCAATCAAGGCGGCAATTCTTCAGTTCTACAGCTACTATCCATCCAGGTGGAACACGTGCCTTGACAGTGGCGTGAAACCTGAACATTAAGGCCGGAAAATCTAAGTAATTAGTTACTAGTCGGTTGGTACCTGCCAAGACTCTAGGCAAGGTTCCTGGGCTGAGCTGAGCTGAACTGAGAGCTGAGCTATCTGTCTGTCTGTCTGTCATTCAGTCAATCATTTTAGTGTTTTTGCTCCCATAACTCAAAAATGCAATTAAAATCCATGCGACATGACTGATCCAGCGAGAGGTACAGAGAGTACTCCGTACAAAGTAGGTAATTTGCAGTTCTTACTGTGTACACAACAACAAAACAACACGTCCAACCCGTTATCCCTAACCAGGTAACGATATTCACCCTTCTTCTATTCTCTTTTTCCTCTTTCTCTCTCACACACACTCTCTCTCCCCCTGATCCACCTGAGTGGTAACAGACCAAAGAGAAACCTCGATAACCCTACAGAACTACAGCACTAGAGGCGCGCGGAATCGCAGCCGGCTTTCCTTTAGTGTCCACTCTCGTCCACGGGATGGCGTTCTAGAAGGGGAAACTTGATCGGATCGTCTGCAAATCCTTTTGGGCTCTCGGCGCATTATTACGAACGGGGCTGAACTGAATGAAAGAATACTAGGAAAGGGGAGGTGTGTTTTTATTTTTACTTTTATTTTTTTCTCTTTCTTCCCAATAACAGTGCGGGACGGATGATGGCGACTTTTTTTCGATAGATGGATTCATTTTGTTGATGATTCACCTGATAAGGATGTCCCGTGTCGCCCTGTCAATGTTTTCTTTTTTTTTTTTTTTTTTCCTTTTCTTTCTTGTGCTTGCTATCTTTCGGTTACTCTTTTTCTTTTCTTTTTCCTCTGCTGAGGGTGATCTTCTAGATTGATTGATAGATAATAGATAGAGCGAGAGAGGAAGATAGAGGATGGGGAGGCGGCGCGCGGACGGACGAACGGGATTGATACATGATAGTTACACAGCTACAGCAACCGTAAGTCACGGGAGAGAAAGAAAAGGGAAGGGAAGGGAAAGAAAGAGGTCCACGGTGGATGTATCAAGTTCCATGTCAATCCAACTAACGCATCCACCCGCCACTCTGGAACCTCATTTCGCTTCCCCGTTCCGGACCATATTTCAGTTCCCCTTTTTAGGTCATGGTGCATCCCTCCTCCCCGTCTTTCCTTCCCCTCGTATCACCTCAACACATATTTTCTTTTATTTCTTCAGCCACCCAGCAAAACCACCAGATTGATGCGTGATGATCGCCTTGCCCCGTCTGTCAGCCTCATCGTTAGTCTGAATGCTGAGCGACCCTCCATCCGTCCCAAAGGGAAGGGAAGGGAAGGGATTGAAGGGGGCCCGGTCCATGCATCCATCTGACAGACTTCCCGATTCGGAGTGATGATCTTCAGGTCGCCTCCGTGGCGGACCCAACTAGCTAGCATTATTATTATTTTTTACTATAATTATTTTTTTTTCTTTACTGAAGAAAGTTAGATAGTTAAGTAGTGAATGAATAGATAGATCACATCATTCTTACAGTAGCTGAGTTATTTTACCTACCTATCTTCCCGGAGATGATGGCGCAAGTGAGCGATCATACATCTCCGCCGAGATGAGGCGGTCCCCCCCCCCTTCCCCCCGCCTCCACTTCTCTTCTTTCACCAAGAAAGCAATTGATCTTAACTGAGAAAGTTCTAGAATGGTTGCTATGCGATGTGTCTGGAGAAGTAGTAGTACCTACCTCTTTAGGTAGATGCTGGATCCCTTGTCAGTGGAGCCATTTCCTTCACACGGCACATATGGCAGCTATACACATCCATTTTTAGCTGCCATAAAGATGCTCCACTAGAGGAGAACATCCATGTCTGCCGTCAAAGTACTGACTTACTCCAGATTGTAGTAGAAAATCTAGACTACTTTATAGAACCGGAGCATTATTCTTATGATTATTATTAAATCAGTATTATTATTATTATTTAGTGTTACTATACATGGATGGCCTCCGGCCCGTCTAGACCAAGTGTTGTTGTTGTCCCAGCTAACCCTCTAGCTGCATGAGCAGTGAGTGAGTGACCCCGATAATCGTGCATCTATCTATCTCTCTATCTATCTTTCATTCTTTCTTTATCAAAAGTACGGCTTGACTATTAGTTTATCCTGTCAGACGGAGATCAATGACCAACTCCGCGGGTCGTACTAATATCTTTTTGCTTTTTTTTTCTTGCTTCCTTCTTTCTTTTGCTTTTCTTTCTGTTAATCAGGTGATGGGTGAAAACAAAGCGACGACTAGAGGATTTTCAATGTCTAATTGGGTTCCCTATTAAACTCTGACCGAGTGAGTGAGTGACTGACACTTACGGGGTCATCATCACATCAACCATCATCTACCAACTCAACACCATCATTATTAGTATGACTATCCATCCAACACTAATCCCTCTCATGGAGATGATGGAGTATCTCCGAACCACCGATCCTCAGAAAAGAAAAAAGAACAACTAACCACCCAATCACCACCCTCCTCCAGCACCATGATTTGCCACTTTTATCTGCAAAGTAGTACATTCTACACATTCCTATCTACTAACAAAGTCAGATACTACTAAACTGTGTTCAGATTAAACTTCTCCCTTTGACAATTTTCACAAAAGTCAAATCCCGCGGAGAGGACTACACGCCACCCGGCCCCCCCTTTAATCCCTGATGGAAGTGTCCAGACTGTCGGGTCCGAGACGGAGAGGGAGTGGTAACTAGTGGTTATTGTGATGTGATGGGATGTGATCACTTATTCCATCCAACACATAAACAGTACTGGGAGTAAGACATGCTTCGTATCCCAATAGGGTGCTTGGGATTGAAACAAAGGTCAGACAGGGAAGGATGAGAAATGATAATTGATCTGTCAAGTGTCTAAAACAAGTATACTGAGGAATTGGTATTGGTATGGTGTCTAGTTGAGACGTGGATTTGATGGCAGTTCTTGGCGAGGTAGATGTCAAAAGGTTCTATCTACTACCACTAATACTTTGTAGAGATACTACGTGTGCCAATCAGGTTAAATTATCATAGTAAGTAGTATGTACTGAGTACGGGTAAGCAGGGTTTATACTTAACGATGTTAAGTTATTGCAGGGATACAGGGTATATACCTAGTATAGTCCTAACTAATCAGTATCAGTTCTTTGTTCAGTTGTCAATGACTACAACTCTCTCTCTCTCTCAACGGATAATGTTGGCTGGCTGGCTGGCTGAGTCTCGGGTTCCTCGGTGACTAACGTGATTGGAATGTTATGTGATGGTTTGGTTTGTTGGGAGATGCTCTTCATTCTTTCAACTCGGTTGTTGGGTGAGTCGGTCACCATCCATTCATTCATAACTTCTTTTTTCTACTGATTAGGAAACTAATATTACACTCTCATGCTTTGTATTACTTAGAAAAGAGTGATTAGGCTAGACTTAGCCGTCGTAAAGTGGAAGGTGACATTTGAACTCTGAAATATAATTCCAATACAGGAAACTCCATGCCTGAGCAAAGGGATGCATGCCTACATTGGGTATGAGGTCTTATGACGAGTTCCCTTGTTCAATTCATTACTTCGTAAGTAGTAGATACATGCCTCTCTTGCTAAACTGACAGCAGGCCATCTGTCTACGACTTCTCATATTGATTGACACATCCGTATGCCATCTCGAACTATATATCCATCATTAGTAACCACACTCACATGCACAATCGAGTATCATCATAGGGGTAGAAATAAGGGTATGCCTCACCTGTTCATCTGTCTGACAGATCAATACCTTAGGACCCTTGTCATCACCCCGAGAAATATCCACTACAGTCTCCCCGTCCCCTGCACCCTTGTCATTCTTCCCCAGATCTACCGCACATCCCAGGCAGCGACACTTCTCCGTAACTGCTTTTCGAAGCAGCGCGCTCTTCTCGCCAATTCCGCCTGCGAAGACAAAGGCGTCGACACGGCCGTCTAGCTTTACAAAGTAATTGCCGAGGTAGCCCGTGATGCGGTCAACGAGGATGTCGAATGCCAGTTTATGCTCCCGTGTCGGTGGGTTCTCGACGGCGATTTGGGCAAAGTCGGTTGTGCCGGTCAAGGCTTTCCAGCCGGACTTTTTATTGAGGATTTCTTCGGCCTGGTCATGCGTTAGCGGAATGTAACTATTGCCATCAAGTGCATACGTACCGTGCTGATGTGCATTTCTTTAGTGCTGGCAGGACTGAGTTTGCCTGCATCGTTGGTGTAGTGGAACACAAGGCTGGACTACTGTCAGTATGCAGTTTCCTGAGCAGGGCATATTGGCACTCACGATGGATCAATGTCTCCGCTCCGTGTGGCGCCTGGTAGTCCGGCTAGCGGTGTGAGTCCCATCCTATGTGTGAATATGTCAGTATAGATGGCCATTGACAAAGGCTGGGAATCTCACGTGGTATCAACTGATTTACCATCCTTGATGGCACAGATAGAAGCACCGCTTCCGATATGCATTGCGATAATATTGGTCTTATCAGCAGGTTTGTTCAGGAACTCCGCAACAGAGCGCAGAATGAACGAATAACTGATGCCGTGGAAGCCATATTTCCGCAGCCCGTTGGACCTGGCTGTCTTCTGGTCGATTGGGTAGGTCTTGACATGTTCAGGAAGAGTTTGATGGAACGCAGAGTCAAAGAAGGTGATGCTCCTGACGGATGGAATTTCCTTCCTGCAATGCCGTATAATCTCCAGAGCCGAGTAATTGTGCAATGGAGCTAGGTCTTCCAGTTTCTCGAGATGATGATAAGTTTCGTCGGTGATTACAACAGACTTGTCATAGTCTCCACCGTGCACCACACGGTGGCAGATATAGGCTAGATCATCTGTGCTGGCGACTTCGGAAAGCTCGGGATCAGAGATGCAGCGCTGAAGCAGAAATTTGAAGGCATCTTGAGGAGTACTGATGCTTTCCTTGAGTTCCTCTTTGTGTTGCTTGTCGCCACTGGTGTATTTCAGCTTTGCTGGTGGGGCAGTGATACCGGAAACCTGCGCGGCAGCAATGACCTTTGGGGTCTTCTCGTAGGTATAGAAGGTAAGCTTGACCGAAGAGGATCCGGCATTGACGGAGAGGATGGATTTGCGTGCCATGTTGTTGCGGAGCAATTGGGTGCGGGGACACGATGAGTTAGCTTGCTGGCTGTTAGAGAAAGAAAGATTGAAATATAGGCTTTCTGAAACCCTTGTCGGGCCTTGATCTCGGAAGTTGTGGGTTGATGCTTGTTGGTGGTGGCAGCTCAGTTCCCGGTTGCGACGGCGGGTGATGTCACTCCCCGAGTGACGTATTGCCAGGGGTCTCCATACAACAACAACCTCACCACCTCGCTTCCCAGTTCTTATTTTAAGCAGTGCAGTCGAGGCAGTGGCATGATCTCCTTGTTCTACCATCTTTGACAGTTGCAGAAAGTGGGCTAGACTCTCTTGTTTCCACGTGTTACTAGATCTACCCCTCCATAGACCCTGGGATCTCGAACGGACCTTAATCCTTAGTTCCACGGATATACTAAGTAACCTTTTGATTTACCAAACGACCAATCTACATCCATCAAATCATTATGCCTGGAGAGGTCATTGACAGGCCAAATCCCAAGGCTGAGCCTTCACATATCCCCGACCTTGTCAATCAATTGCAGGTCAAACTCCAAGAGACGAGTTTGGAGGAATCTGACTACAATGCCCTGCTGAAATTCCGCCGAGCAGCGGCCTACATTGCTGCTGGTGAGATCGAGGCCCCCAAATTTCCAGCCTACATTCACTGACCTGTCACACAAGCAATGATCTTCCTTCAGGACAATGTGTTGCTGAAACAGAATCTAAAGCATGAGGATATCAAGCCAAGGCTCCTTGGTTAGTATCTTCAATCTCCCGGTGCTGTCCTCTGCAAGCTCCGCTCACAGATCTGTAGGCCACTGGGGAACATGTCCCGGGTTGATCCTCATATACTCCCATCTGAACTATATCATCAGAAAGCATAACCTGGACATGTTGTATGTCGTTGGACCTGGACACGGCGCTCCAGCTATTCTGGCTTCGCTGTGGCTCGAGGGCTCTCTAGAAAAATTTTACCCCAAGTACTCCCGAGACATGGATGGTCTTCATGAGCTCATCTCGACTTTCAGCACAAGCGCTGGCTTACCGAGGTATGACTTTGGCTGGGAATCTGAGTTGAAGCCAATCTAACTTCTTTAAGCCATATCAACGCGGAAACCCCCGGAGCAATCCATGAAGGTGGTGAGCTGGGTTATGCATTGGCCGTCTCATTTGGTGCTGTCATGGACAATCCGGACCTGATCGTCACTTGCGTGGTTGGTGACGGAGAAGCAGAAACTGGTCCTACCGCGACGTAAGTACCTAACAACTCCCCCATTCGAGCACAATCTGACAACAGACAGGTCCTGGCATGCAATCAAGTACATTGACCCTGCAGAATCAGGTGCCGTCCTGCCGATCCTCCACGTCAATGGCTTCAAGATCAGCGAGCGCACCATCTATGGCTGCATGGACAACAAAGAGCTGGTCTCCCTCTTCACGGGTTATGGATACCAGGTGCGCATTGTTGAGAACCTGGATGACATCGATGCAGATCTTCACGGCTCTATGATGTGGGCAATTGAGGAGATCCACAAGATCCAAAAAGCGGCGCGTTCCGGCAAGCCAATAATGAAGCCTAGATGGCCAATGATTGTTTTGCGCACACCTAAGGTATGATAATATCTGCCTTAACATTGGATCTCCGCTAATTATCCTTGAAGGGCTGGTCAGGACCTAAAGAGCTCCAC